AGCGTGAGGGTCAGTAGTAGCTGTTTGAATGGTTGTTTCACTTCCGATGTCAGTGGGTGTTGTATCAACAGTAGGTTGAGTACGTAAATGTGATTTCAGGTGGCAGCATACGAAAAATTCTTCTTCATCAGGTTTAAGAGCATAGTTATCACTGAATATGAGAGAGTGCTAAGTTTAGTCCTTTAGAAAGCACACTTCGTTCAGGGGAAGATTATCAGGAATAGTAACACCATGTTCAGTGAGACCTTTTTGTGAAGTTCTGATTACGATTATGCCAAGTTCATACAAGTGTATGGTTGTGCAGTATTTCATGGTATTCACTGTTGGGCTGATGTATGGGTTGTCTAAGTTTGGTATCCACTAAAATTTAACAAATCAAGCATAGATTATTTCTGAACTTCGCACTTCACTCGATTTGCTGTTTCGTACTTTACAAAATCTGTTGTGTTAACACTAATCAGAAATAGAGAAGATCTGTGTAATTCAGTACTAATAACGTTCTCAAAGTTTTTATAGTGCAGGTGAGGTGACAAAACGGTTTTTCTGAAGGAATATGTGGTTACTGAATCTTGTCTTAGATAATATGGAAGTGAAGAGGCTCAATCCTATTCGAAAAATATCTGTTGAAGAAGATTAGCATATCTTTTCGGATGTTATTCTACATGGACTTCATAGATGGCATGAGTTAAGTGCGGTAGAATACAAATATTGTTAAGTAACTGATCTCAGCAGAAAAACTCGGATGAAAGATAAGTTGGCACGTATAAATAAAAACGTTTTCAGTTTTACTTTGTACAAATGTTTCGGGCAGTAAAGACCGTGTTATAATTAAATTAGGTTAAAATATAATTGTTTGTTTTGAATTTCGCGCAAAGCTACACGAGCTGTCCCTAATTTAGTAGTGGCTACTCTTTTACCAACGAATAGTGGGATTGACCATAACATTATAACGCTCCCACGGTTGAAAGGGCGAGCATGTTTGGTGTAAAGGGGTTTCAAACCCGTGACTCTCAGATTGAGAGTCGAGCACCCTAACCACCGGGCCAATAGAATTGTTAGAGGGTTATAATATACATATGTTCTTATAATAAACGTTCAACGTCGAACACGGTAACAAAAATATTGTTGGATAAAAATATTACTGAGCTTTCTTCCAAGTAGTGTTAAAATTAGGAAGAAAACGGAAAACAAATAATTAGAGTAACTGAAATTGGGTATATAAACACAGAAAAAAAATAAACATAATTTCGTAAAAAAACAATGCAGTGAAATATTTGTGGGTTTGTTTGTTGTTAAGAGCAAAACTAGAAAATGGGATATCTGTGCTGTTCCCTCTACGAGTATCGAAACCCGGTTTCTGGCATTATAAACCTTCACACTTACCCCTGAACCACTGGGGGGGGGGGGGACTCATTGAGATAAAGTTGAAAAGGAGACTAAACAGGGTAAATCTAGTAAAGTAGAATCAAAGTAACAAACGGATATTACTAGAACGTATAGTAACGAACTATTTACATGAGAAAAGGATGTGCCAATAATTTCTAGTGTGTAAAAATCAAGGTAAGAGATAAATATAACTAAAACGTTTAGTGATTAAGTATCTGGGTAACAAATACGTACGAATGAAAAATGTTAGTGATGAAACATCATGGTAAAATGGTATGGGTAAAACGTCTAGTGAGGAAGCATGAATGCAACAAAGATGCATAACTAAACGCCTAGTGTAGAGGCTTCCGAGTTAATAACAGCTATAACTGAAAAGCCCAGCGAGGAAGTCCACAGGTAACAGAGGCAAGACTAAAATGTCTAGAGAAAAAGTGTCAGGGTAACAAAAATGTGTGACGAAGATGTCCAATGAGAAAGTATAAGGGCAACACTCAGGTATGACTAAGATAACCAATAAGGAATCATCAAGGTAATAAAACAGGTATTATTGAAAGGTTTAGTGGGGAAACGTAAGGTAACAAAAAGGTATGGCTAAAATGTCTAGCGAGGAAGCATTTGGTTAACAAATAGGTATGAACAAGTTCCAGTAAGGAAGTATCAAGGTAACAAACAGGTATTATTGAAAGGTTTAGTGGGGAAACGTAAGGTAACAAAAAGGTATGGCTAAAATGTCTAGCGAGGAAGCATTTGGTTAACAAATAGGTATGAACAAGTTCCAGTAAGGAAGTATCAAGGTAACAAACAGGTACGACTAGAACATTTAGTGAGGAAACATGAAGGTAACAAAGAGGAATGAAACCCAGAATGTTAGTATTATAAAGCCCTAAATTTTACCACAGTAAATGGACATATTGTTTCCTCAGTTATAACTTATCAATTACTCCTTGAAAGAAAGAACACAGTAGAGTGTCTAAAAGGTATGGAATCATGGGTAATTTGCAGTTTTTCTTAAGTTTAGATACATGACTGATTACGGCACTGACATAAGTTTAGATACGTGACTGATTACAGCACTGTCATAAGTTTAGATACGTGACTGATTATGGCACTGTCATAAGTTTAGATACGTGACTGATTACGGCACTGTCATAACTTTAGATACGTGACTGATTACGGCACTGTCATAACTTTAGATATGTGACTGATTACGGTACTGTCAAACTTGTTTGGAATAACAAGGACAGCATGTGGAACACATTCTGTAAAATTCATTGAAGAGACTATGGTTCCAAACGTTTCTAATACCCTGTACAAACAAAAGCAGTTTATGTCATGGATGCCTAACTATGTTTAAAAGTAGAGGTGAAGAGTAAGGAAGAACTGGGAATCAAAGCAAGAAAATATTTTGTTAAAAAAATATTTAAAGTGGCTAAAGCATGATGTAATATTTTGTCTATAGGAACGGATTCTCTGCTTGAAAATGAAATTATACATGTATGATAATGACTTGTTGAGCAAGCGAGTTATTTTTCCAAACATTTCACATGAACATCTTTATTCGCACTGAAAATATCTACAACTTGACACTTGGACAAATTTGTGAAATAACTTATTGGACACACAACATTAAAATGTTTTGCCATGGTTTGGACCGGGTTGACCTGTGATTCACCTTTTTTGCTATTTACAGCAGTAACATAGTGGTGGAGTGTGCTACTTGTGCAATGTTGATATACTAGCAATTTTCAGCTGTTTTGTTGTGTTCTATTTGGGTATTTTGAAGCTGCTAGATGTAGCAACCTTAAGGACCTTCTTCAGCAGTTGTTTTATTCTCATATTCTTGATTTGTTAAATGATCCAAAGGAGAAAAATGTTTAGACAATGCCTTTATAAACATTTTTATTTTTGAACATGAAAACATATGATTAATTTTTTGGTGTCAAAATTACTTAGTGTTCTCAGCTTTAAATTTACTATTTCACTTCTCTCTTGCACATTCTGATTAAACATCCAACAAGACTCTCTATGAACTCCATAACTGAAACTTGCTTGGCCACAGAAGAAACAGCTAATCTTTTTTTCTGTAAGAAAATAATTGATGATTTGGTTTTCCAGAAAACATTTAGGAGATACATTGAGTGATGTCTCAGGACAAGATTCACAAATTGATTTCCAAGTACCTTCTCACTTCAGTCTGTTACTGGATGTTTCTGCAAGTATATATAAACATACATTATGCATAATTTTCCTGCTAAAATAAAATCACTCTTGTTAAAATAGGGAAAATGTTATTTATAATATTATATATACTTATTTGGTATATCAATGCAAAATTACGTTTATAAAATAATCACTAAAGCCTATCTCACAACTCAATATTTCAAATTATTTTTTACATTTTATATTCTCTATGAAATCATACAAAAATTTGTAGCACTTCAACTTTGTTAGTGTAAAATGTTATGTGCAACTTCCAAAAGCTAGTCCTTAACTAACAGTTCAAATTTCCATATTTTTTTCGCTTTAAAAAGTTGGTTTATAAGTTATAAAATGACTAGGTCCATGATTATAACAATATTTGTTCCTTATTTCAAAGAAAAGCAATAAATTCTCAATTCCCAGACATTTGGGTATTTGCTGAAACAAATTATCATATACATAAAAAAATCAAAGCATTCCAAAATCATTATTATGAAAATTTATTTAGGTTGTGTTATACAATCCCTGATACTGCTTCATTTCTGAAATCTGAGTTTTCAATCTTGAACATGATTTTTGTAGATCAAATCTACTGTTCTATTTCTGAAATCTGAGTTTTCAGTCTTGAACATGATGTTTGCAGATCAAAGCTATTGTTACATTTCCACAGTAACTTGATTCACAAATCACTGCTCCAAATGTGGAACAGGAAGTGTTTCACAAGAGCATACAGTAGAAGTTTTGAGAAGTTTGAATTGTCAGAATTAACTATAGGTACAAGTGTTCAGGTAATAGAAGAAAATAATATTGACTAATCAAATATACTGATGAAAGGGCAAAATGATGAATGGCTTGTATGAACAATGTTATTCCCTATATAAAGATGAATTTGAACATATTTCAAAAAAAATTCTGGAGTTATTAGTTTTCTCAATGTATTTGTGTACAGGACCTAAAATTAGGTGGCAAAAGAAAATGGTTACACTGAACCCAGAATTCAAATGTCTGAACTTTTTATTATATTATAACATACATTTGGGTATTTTAGGTATACAAACAACAGTAATAGTAGATACACTACAGTGTTTATTTATTTCCCCAACTGGGATGTTTGAGAATATTCAGATTGAGGCAAAGTTTGAGGTTTTACTTTACACTGTTGGATAGTGAAAGGGAACTTTTTCCATGTAGCAGAGAGTGATGATTTTAGTTTCAGTTTTGTTTCTACTGTCTCTACTGGTAAATCTGATGTCCAGCCAAAATAGACAGGAGAGAAGCAGTAACAAAATTTTTCATCAAAATAGCTGCTAATGTTTTAAAGAGCTGGCACGGATCAAAAGAAGCTTTTGAAATGATAAAGTTGGCTCTCTATTATACAACAAAGGAACAGTGAAAGACTATCATAAATTTATGCATCTAACATGATTAATGATGCAGCGCATTAAACTGCCCTAGAAAAATACAAGAGAGTTTTGAATTAAGAAAAAAATAAAACTACTTACGTAAAGAAATGGTGATAACACACCTTATCAACTTAAATACACAAGCATAAAAGCATTTCCTGAAGAATCCATTGCACACTGCTCTAAATAAATGAAAGTGAAAGGTAAGGAAAAAATATGCTAATTAAAAATGCCATTCTAAATTCCTTAAAAGTTCCAGGCCATTATACTCTTCAACCAATCTTTATTAAAAATGTAGGAACCACAAACAATTGATATCCATTGGTTAAAAAACTCAAGCTAAAGAATCACAAAGACAAGAAGGACTATACAATACTAATTGACATAAGTAAACTGAATGCTTTACTGATTAGGATATAAAATACTCCAAAAAATATATAAAGAATTCAAAAAAATCCCAGTTTATCTAGAAAAGAATGTCTTGCTGTACATCAGAGATCAAGATAAAATATCCCACAGAAAGAGCAGAGGCTTACCACAGTAACAATTACAGACATTCTTATGTGCACAACATATTGCAAAGACGGGTTTCATAAAAAAAAAGTCCTGCAGCACTTTGTTTTCTCTGTGACGCATGTAAAAATTGGCGAAGGTTACTCCAAGAGGAGAGCCCATGGCAACTCCGTCGACTTGCTGGTATAGCGAAACATCGATATGTTGAAAAGGTGACTTTGTAGTGCAGGCGAGTAGAAGTTCACACATTATTTCTTCAGGTATTTTGGGTGGAGACATGGTCGGGTGTCTGTAAACGTTGTCACAGATTATGTCTATCGTATCCTGGACTGGTACATTGTAAATAATGATTCGACGTCCAAGGAGGCGAGTAGTCCCTGTGGATTTGTGGCATGTAGTAAGTGGAGGAAGTCGTCTGTAGATGTTAGCATGTGTTGGGCAGGCATATAGGGAGTGATGATGTGGTTTAGGTCTTTGGCAGTCTTGTATATAGGGGTAGGAATTTGTGATATGATTGGCCGTAGAGGGCTGTTCTGTTTATGAGTTTTTACGGTTCCGTAAATATATCCAGGCGCATAGTCTCCTATGATAGGTTGGAGAACTTTTTCTTTTGCTTGTTTGTTGACAGTGGCGATCAATTTATTAACGTCTGTTTTTAGTGTTTTTGTCGGGTCAGCTCTAATCCTCTTAAACTTGCTATTGTCCGATAGAATGGCGTCCAAATTTGACTTATATTCCTGTTTGTCCATGATCACTAGAATATTAGCTTTGTCCGCACAATGATGTCGTCATGGTTTCTGAGTCCCTTAGCAGCAGCACGGAGTTTTGGTTTAGCAGGGGGGTGTTGTCACGGTCACGTCGTTTCGTGCTTTCTGTGCGTAGTTGGTCCTGCAAGGCTGGATTTATGTCGATAAGGTCCTGTTGTTGTAGTTGTATAAGAGAGCAGTAGAGTTTTTCGAGCTCAGCGGCTTTGATGTTCTTGTCGAATTTAGGTTTAAAGTGGCATTTTGGCCCCAGGTTGAGTAGTTGTTTCTGGTCTGTAGTCAGTTCTGTGTTGGAAAGATTCAGGTAGCACGCTTTTTCTTGTGGTAGGCAGATGGTACCTTGATATAGGTTGTTCAGCTTTTTTGTTATCCGTGATCTGGTATCAAATACTTCTAAAAGTCATGTTGACCACATAAATATTTTAAAGGATGTGTCTGATTGTCACAAAAATAACACAGAAATAATTTCATGCTAAGTAAACCAACATTGTTATTTCCAGCCAGTACAAAGGTGAGAAAACTCTGAATCTAAGTAAAAGATTTATGACTTAGCAGCCTGAAACCAGTGCATATGCAGGGGTTGTTTTGCCTATATTTTTTATTAACTTGTAGGTTATTTAGCTGATTTTACTAAGTTGCTAAATAAAATGTAAAAGTAATAAGCAGTTTATGCATATAATTTCAGAAAGTAACAAGATCTCTAGATGCATGTATAAAGTAGAAGTGTCCTCTATATGGCTGCTTTTTACACCTATAGTTTTTTAAAACCATTTTAAACCAACATTACCTCTTGGTAGCCCCTGTGTCTTCCCCACACATCTAATGGTTGCATCAGCAAATAATTATATAGGCTCAATTTGACAGATTTTACTGAAGATAACCTTTAATTTATTTTGAGGATAGAGCTGGCCAATTAATGGAATTTAATAATTGATTTACTCATCAGGCTCATTACTCAATCACATTCAACTAATCAATTACTCACATGAGACTTAAATAGTTGGAATAATTAATAATAACAATAAATTAATTTGTATGAAATGATCATCTTCATGAGTTGTGGCAATAATTATCATGCTGAAAAACCTTGAATTAATCAAAAACAGTAATAATAAATATTTTTTGAAACAAATTATATGGTGACTAATTATCAGGTGGTACATAGTAGGACTATTGCATATTACAAGTAAAAGAAATGTATATAAATGAAAACAGTTGAACACCTATATTTAAATAAGGAGTATGAGTCAGATATAAGTGTATTCAATAAGTTAAGAATGGAATAAGGCAACTAGTGAAAAGAATAGAGTGACATTACTTCATGAGCAAGTTCTGGCTCTGTCAAATCAAAGACGGAACATTTTCCACTAAAAATGGAATGAATATGATGTGTAAGCATCATAACTAGATTCATAACTCAGATACTATCTGTAGCTGACCAATAAGAAAACAGACACCACAATGTGGAAGTATCTCTTCTCCGTGTTACAGTTGCAGGGTACAATCAGGTAGAACACAATGCAACTATCTCATAAAGCAATAGATAAGTTCTTCACCTGTTAAAATTACAGAAAGACTTATTTTAACATGTTCTCAATTCAATTCAAAATGTTCCAAATTAGAACACAGAAAAAATTTTAAATTTTACACATATGAAAAACATACTTTAAGAGAGTAAGGCATGTTTTATTTGTACACTATTATTTAAAAAGGAACATGTAAGTGAAATTGTGTACTATTGTAATCATTGTTCAGCCTAAAACGAAATCAAGTATTACATGCAATTTCCTACTAAAGTTAACATTTTTATAAACTGAAAAATTTGTTCTTAGTTCCATGGGACTAGTTAAACCAGAAAAAAAGATAATTGGCTAAACTTTTTTGCACTGATTCTCTCATAGTGTAATGGAGCCAAATCCATTTTCCAGATGTACTTTCAAATATCAATGATATACTTGATGCAAATGAAAACATTGCACCAAAGGCATGCTCTGCAGTGGTCCTGGAAAGATACGAGATGATAAAGGAGGCAAAGCACATTGAAGAGTTCCCTGATGAGAAGAAAATAAAAAGTAAGATCAGCCAAATCAAGCAGAATAAGAAGAAGGAAAGGCAAGCAGCTGAAGAAGGGAGCCCAAGGAAGTGTTTCATTATGAATTCTGTAATTGTTCAAAGGTCAACATAAGTATTCATCCCAAAAAACAACAAAATCATAAAAGAAAATTGTCATTTATTTTCATGAAAGGAAAAAGCAAAAGAACAAGAAAATAAAGAGAAAAACGGCCTGGAAAAGGGTGCACTTTTCAAAAAATGTAGCTGAAATTGCAATTTTCAAATAATCATAAAAGTTCGAGTATTTATGCCTAAAAAAAAATAAAAACACACTTGAAAATATTTTTTGCTGTTCTATTTTAGTATTAAATGCACTATTTCAGTGTTCAAATTCTGCAGTTAACGTTCCACAGAAATCAGCAATATATCAGGAAATTTTGCCACCCTAAGGTAGGCATTACATGTTAAACAATGCAATGCTAAATATATATTTTTATTAAAATAAATGTAAATAAAACTTTTTACTTTGCTTTGCACATTTTGTAGCAGTCTTGATATTACTTGTATGGGTATATACACATCAAAAATTCATTATTCCAAAACTGGTTTTAGTCGTCTCCTGTTTTTGACAACTGGCAACAGGTTTCCGAGGCTGGCAGTTTTTGTTGGCTCCAGATTTTTATGAGCTAAAGCAGTCCCTGAATGGGATTACAACTGAGAATATTAATACCAGTGAGGGTATCCAACTTATGAATCAATGCATTCTAACCATTTTTGTCAGACAGACTAACAAATAAATTATCTACATTATTTACAGTATTAATATTTAATTATAATTATGTAGGTAGTTAACTTTGATCAGAACCTATTGATAATTAGAGTAAGGAGCTATAAAATATCATTATAACATTTAAACCTTACCAGAGTATCTGAATGAGTTATGTTCAAATAACATCCATCTTGGGCCATTTTGAAGGCTAATTTAGCAGTGTTCATGCTGTCAACTATCCCTGCATCAACAAATAAAAACATGTGTATGATTAGAAATTACAGTATTTTAGAGTAAATAGTATGTTGAAACATCACAGTAAAATGGATAATAATTTGAAGCTCATTATTCTTAACAGAACCAATACCACTTTCCAATAACTCTTGGGTTACTGCCAACTGGGTCTTTCACTTAATCTACACATATATTCACTCAAACTGTGTATATTGACAAAACAAGAAATGACTATTTTCAGATTTGCCACACGTCAATGAATTAGGTTAGAGCATTAATGTTATTTATCAAATACTAATTTTGATATAAGTCATGTTCATTATTTTTGTTAAACTGATTGTGATATACAAGCATATAGTATTTTTCAAAATTAGTCACTTATTTTGGTATATGCAGTTTCCAAATAATATGTGGTCAAGAAAGTCAAGTTATTTTTGTGCTAGTTGTCTTTGTGTTTTGCCATATTCCTGGCCTGCCCATGGGATGTATGGCTTTAAAGCTGTGCCTTATGCATGACTACAGACAGCAGTATTCACTAATGGTAGATGAGGTGATGTCTCAACCTCCCTTATGTTTGAATGAGAATGACCAGTCACATGGCAGAGCTAGTCACTCTGGGTAAGTGTGATGCTACTGAGTTACCTATGTAACATAAGGTTTAATCTGATAGAAGTTATTATTAAGTGCAGTTTGGAGAGCAAACAGCTAAGATCCAGTAAAAGCTACTGTTCAGCATCCACAGCAAGAACATATGCTGTGTTTGTGTTATAGGTAATAAAGACTATTCATTGTGTCCAGTCTCTTTATTACCTTTTCATAAATTCAATCAGTTTCAGAAAAATTCAGAACTACCCTGTAATAAATATCTTGTTTGAATGCCCTGTTATTCTAGACTCATCTTGTCACTCTAAGGAAAATTTGTTTTACTTACGAATACCATGCAAGTATTTTTACTATTTTATGGTGCTTCATGTGCATGAAAAGCTATATAAGAAAATATGACAATATATTTTGTAATAAGCTACATTTAATTACTTTTTCAAATGGCATGTTTGTTTCTAACACAAAAAGACAACTATATAAGTTATATATTAATTTCACTCACAGTACAACTTGATTCGTATGGTATAGAAGAAGTATGTATTAAAACAAAAATACATGAAAAACTAGCAATCTAGTTATAAGCATACATAAATTATCAGATAATAATTAAGAAATGTGTCAGCCTATTTTAACTAAGTAACAGTGATATCTCATTTTAAGACTTTTCGTAAAATAACAATGGGTTAGTTTTGATTTTTAGATTAAAGCATAGATGGAAATTTTATTGCATACAATAGATATTTTAATAAGGTAATCAATATTTTGAGAATGTCAAATTGCATTCAATTTTATTGTTTAGAATTTATTAGATTTAATAAATAAATAATTCAAAAGCTGAATCTTACATATTGGGTAAACAAAGAAATTCATCTAACCTGAATGTTCTCTTCCTTCAAAGCACAAACCAAGGTCTTCAATGGCTCCTCGTAAACCATTAGGTGTACGAGAATAGAATTTCTGCTGACAAAAAGTTTTGTAAAATTACATATAGGCAAGTTGTTAGAGAATTTGTTTTTATGCTAAAATCCTGAAAGATTTAACTGCTGAGAGAAATTCACTACCAGAAAGATATCCATTATGAGTAATGCAAATGTTACAAGTGCAAAACAAATGTGAATTAAACTGATCTATTAGATGTACTCAACATTTTCAAACACATATAGGGCAGACCAAAAGAAATGATACTGATAGAGAATTCCATTATGCTTGATATTGATACTTATCATGTATTGTACACAATAGTATTAGTGACAATGATGCACACTAAGCAATGAGTAAAACCTTCTCAAGTGCCATTCAACCAGGCGTGTATTGACAAGCATGCCTGCTATATGAACACAAATGTTGACGATACATTCACACGGATGAATGTATGAAAAATCACTTAATATGCTTTCAACCAATCAAATGTTGAGGAAAAGACTAATCCAAACACCTAAGTACATTAATGGAGAGATGCAAAAATGCATCATTCTGCTGCTAGGAAATGAATGCATGCTCAGAAAAAATTTCACCATAAGATATTACACATTGCCTAAAGGTGTGATATGCTGGTATATCATGTTTTCCACCTGTTTTTAGTTATATAGAAATTTAAAAATTGTGTGATTTATGTAGTTCCTATGCAGTTTTAGCCTAAACACATGGTCCATAAAACCAATTCAGTTTGCCTTGTTTAGTTGCTTTGTGTCTTTGTTCTCTATAGCAGGTATTATCTACTCTGCCCAAATGTTGTGGTCTATTTCACTTTAGTATAAGAAGAGTCTATGGTTGCATCATCCTTTTCTGGCCAAGTATATTGTGTCTGTATGTTACAGCCAGCAAATGCTTTTAGAGAAAAACAGTTATATAATTACACCATCACAGGAAAAATAATAAAAAATTTCTTTAAAAATCAAGGTGTTTATTCTTTCTTAGTCCTACCTGGCTATCTTAGTGTTTAATTTGACAAAATATGGTCCTGAGAAAAAAGGAAACTGCAACTGTTATAATGAAATAGTAGCATGTAGTACATTGCATTTTGTTTTTGTTTGAATTATTGTGTTCATTTCTTTTAAACACACCCAGTTTTTTCTTTACTCAACAAAGAAATAAAAGAACTCATTTAAGTTTTTAAATACATGTTACTCCACAAATTTACTGGTTGACCTGCTGTTATTAGCTGGTCTATCTGATGCTTGATTTACCTAAAAATACTACAAAAGTATTTCTGTCTTTTTCCAAGGTGAAAAAAAAATTAATTGGATACAATCACCTGGTAAATACTGCTCATTCTCTGTAAGCAAGTGAGAAAACTGAATCTAATAATCTAGCTTAGCCTATTCTGTAAGACGTTAGCATTTTCCAACACTGAAAATGTATTTCCAATAGATGCTTACCTCTTCTCACATAATAGTTTTTCCAATTCAGTGCTTGCCATTAGCCTTGAAAATCCCACTTAAGGTCACATGTGTCTTGCTGTGCTGTTGCATGCAAATAAGCATGCATCAACTCTCGAGTAGGAGTGTGACATATCCTCCTAGCCCAGTTGGATAGCTCTATACTGATTGTTAACTCACCACTTCAAGATTAGACAAGAAAAGGCACACCAAAAGTAAGGAGGATGGGTGGGAAGTGTGAGGTATTTATCGGAAATACATTTTCAGTATTGAAAAATACAAACTTCCGATACAATAACTAACCTCCACTAACATAATACCTACAATCCCACATTTAAATAGTGGAGGGACTGGTACAAAAGTTACCTAGATGAGCCCCCTTTGGAAAGCACCCGGGTAACACTGTGGAAATGTATAGGGGGCACCTGTAGGAGACCACACTTCATCTAGACCAGGGTACAATGTTCACCCATATTGAAAATATGGGTGGCTAATTCAGGTGGAAAGCAAACACAGTCTAGAATCAGATTATGGATCATAGACAAGCCAAATGGTGTAGTGTGGCTAGGGCATGTTACTGTACATGGTGGTTCAACTCCATTCCAAAACCATGCAGAATTGAGTAGTTTTCATTTGGTCCACAGCAACTGAGGGAGTGCTCATATGTGCTGTTCCTGCACACATCTAACATCAGGCACCCAAGAACACAACATCTGGGCAATGGTAGGATGGGGAAAGCATACGTAATTGGTCAACTCCAGTCCAAAACCAGGTCATCTGGTCCACAGCAAGAGGAGGGACCCTACCAACCATAAGAGTGAGGGCTGGTTCTGAACCTACCCAATACAAGACTGCCCAGAAATAAAAAAGAGATCCAGGCAGTGGTAAAATGGGGAAAGCAAGCTGGATAGGTGAATTGTACATGGTGGGTCATCTCCAGTCCAAAACCAGGCAGAATCAGGAAATGTTTGTTTCTTCTGTGGTATGATGAAGGTCTGCTCCATCTAAGCCAACAAAACACCACCACCCTACTCTCTACAGAGTAGAATTTGTTACACTCAGGAGAAATCATCCATGTTTCACTATCCCTGCAGTTAGGAACTGGTAAGTGGCAAGGACTCCCATACTCCACTACAAGCAAAAAAGGGTGTGTGTGGGTGAAAATGCATTGGGGGAGCCTGGAGCAGCACAACACCTTAAGGAAGTGCAATGGGTGATCATAAAACCTATATTTAAAAGCAGGCCATTCTCAGTTTATTCAACTAGAACTGGAGGGATAGGTAGCTATCTCAACACTGCCTTACTCAAGATAGCCTACGAGTGGATACAGTCTGGATCAGGCCTTGTTTAGTATATTATATACCAAGAGGATACCTCTAGCAGTCTTGTGGAACACACCATCTCATCAGTGAGTGCCATATCAGGCCTGAAAGGCCCTACATGGTGCAGATTTAGCTAAGTATACCCTGGCAGACATCACTAGCAACTTAGTGGGATCCTGTGAAGTATAAGAGTAAGTTCTTACCCTGTAAGGGTAAGAGAAAAAGAGCTTACCAAGTCAGAGCCAATAAAGTGTATGGAGAACAGCAACAGGAGGCAACCTGTAGTATGATGATGAAGAAATTGCCAGATGATGAAGATAATGTGAGATGAAAGTATGCAGGGTTTTCCACATGCCAACCAGCACACTCTCCTCCATAAAAGAACAATGGAACCAAGCAGCCAGGGAAAGAGTAATGTGCCAGATTTGATGAGAGGAAACTTTTAACAGACAATGCTAATTATCATTCAATGAAGCATAGGCTAAATGGATGAGTTGAGGAAGCCATCCCGTGAGAGTAATGGAAGAAATATCTCAGGTAGAGGTGGGATTCCAAGGAATAAATTGATGGAAGTATGAACCTTAAAAAAAGAGCAGTGCAGACTAAATAAGAAACTGGACAGAGAAGTAAATCAGGATCAGAGCGAGAATGAAGGTGAGAAATGAATGGAAGGGAAATAGTAGTGAACATGTTGTCCCCTTAATGAGCCCCGCAGATGTTTTAACTAGAAAGCACAATGAGGATAAATAAGAATATATGAACAATAGAAAAGAATACAGAAAGAATCAATGGCATATACATTAGATCATTGATGGCCACAGGCAAAATGGAGTAAGAAACAGGTCATAAATGAATGATGATACAAGGAACAAAAGGCTAAAGTTTCAAAAAGAAGAAGGGTAAGGGCATGGAGAACAACATTCAGGTACCAATTAGGAAGGACAGTAGGATGGGGAGGATGAAGGTATCGAAAATAATGAAGGAGCATAGTAAGGTCTGGAGAAGAAAATACGTGACAGTAATGGGAAAATCTGAAATTATTAGATAGGACTGCCTCGTAACCAGTGATGGCCAATAGCGATAAACCTTAGTTAAAGAGCCATGTAAAAAAATTCAGAAAGATAGGAGGCAGAAGGACAAACAGAATGAGGAAGAAGGAAGGCTACCTGTGAATGGTCTGGAAAGTCTTGCAAGGGACTACACAAAACCCACCCATGAAGTCAGAGTGATGACATTGCTTGATGGGAGAGGGAAGAATAAGGTTGAAGGAGTATGGATCATAACAGATGTAGAAGAAAAGGAGGAAAGGATTGGAGAAGGTTAAGTAGAGGAAACCACGATAGATCCAGCCAATAAGGAGCTATCAGGAGGACTAGACACATATTGTTCTGAATGAGGGAAAGAACACAAGTGAGAAGACAGATAGGAGTGTAAGCATAGAGAAAGAGGTTGGACCAGTCCTGACTGAACACAACCCACAGATACATCTGATGGATGAAGAATTGGGGACCAGAAAAGGGGAAGTTTGGTGTTAAGATGAGTGGCAAAATCATACATAAGAGGAGTGCCAGACAAGAGCACAGCCACTCGAACACAAGAGGATTGAGAGATCACTCCATAGGTAATATCTTGTCAGGCATTGAGAGATGACCTGCAACAAGATTCAGAATATGACAAGAGATTAGTCATACTTGTAAAAGATGTATGGATACAGAAAAGAAGGTCGAGAGTATGAAAACAGAGAGAGTGAGACTATGTGCCCCCTAGTGATTGATATAGAAGAAAATTGTAGTTATCTGTATGGATCATAACTAAAGATCCACGAACCATCATAAAAAAATGATCCACTGCTTGATGTACCATGAAAAGTTCTGAGAGATTGATATGAAGGGCTGATTCATGATGAGACCATTGACCTGAAATCTCGTGAGAGTCGAAATATGCCCCCCATCTTGTCAAGGATGCATCTGTAAACAGATGAATATCCAGATGAGAGGGAGGAACTTCCTCTGTGGTATTGGTTTTCTTAAGCCACCAGGTGAAGTCTTAATGTAAGGAAGGAGGAAGATGAATAGTGAAGGACAAGGGATCCTCAGTGAGGTTCCATTGATCTTGCAGAGTCCATTGTAGACATCATACATCAGCAAGATCCAAGAGGATAAGGGATTCCATGGAAGCCTAAGTTCCCAAAAGAGAGAGAACCTCTCACACAATCAAAAAAGGAGAGGATATGGCATGGGAAACTAACTGCTCCATT